GGGGGGCAAAAATTACTTGTGTTTCAGTTGCCTTATGCTTCAACTACGCTGCTAAATGCAAAGGAAGTTTGCACAACTCAACTTCAAACCTGCAGAGAAATAGTTCTTGAGAAGGGCTACTTGTGGCCACTGAACCAAAGAACAGAGCAGTCAGGTTTGAAATACATTTAATCTATTTCCTAATATTCCCTGTACACAGCATATTTCTCCTTTTCACTCTGCCAACAGCCAGTTAGTTTAGTCACCATACAATACTTAACTGAGAACTAGGAGAACACAGGGCTGATATTATAAAGGAAACCCAAGTTCACTTCAAATATTACCAGAAAATAAACAAACTTGAAACAACAGAAGCTCCCTCCACCGCTTGGTTTTTTGAGCTCCTGTTTCCCAATGGTTACATTCTGCTCACAGCAGGAATGCCACAGATACCTTTTTCTTTTTCAGAGAAAGCAATACTGGGATAGGGAACAGCAGTCCAGTGATTATTGACTGCTAAACCTCCTCTTACCAACTCCAAAAACAGTTTAAGTCATTGCAGTGTTGTAAACCTGATCTGCAGTGTGCGTCCATAGACACCCAGCATCCAAACTGATATTAGGCACTGCCTGAGCTGTACAGCTACTGATTCAAGCAGCAATTCCTTGAACATTCTTTCTGCATGCTGCAGCAATGCTGCACGGCTGCAAGCTGCCCTAGCATCATCTTCTGCAAGCACCCATTGGAAAATGGACCAAGAAACTCAGAACTAGTGAAAACTGAAGGGAAACCCATTATCTCCTGGCTGATTGTTCAAACCAGCCAAAAACAAATTAAAAATGCAGCCTATATCTCATTACCTGTTGGTTGAAAAGGTCCTCCTCTCCAAAGTCTGCCTCATCCTCTTCCTCTTCATTCTCCCGCACGACAACTGATTTAGTAACAGTTCTCACTGCAACTTCCTGCACAAAAGGAAAGAGAAGATGACTAGTGGTCCATATCCAGCTCTGAGTTTTTGCTGTATCATCAGTATAGGAATCCCAGTAATGTTTGGATGATATAAATCAGTTTGCCCCACGATCACAGTTAGCTGTATAAGCAAACACTGAAGATCCTGCAAGCCACAGAAACATTGCTCATTCCAGCTACCAAAAGGCATCGTGGTGTAAGGCAGTTTCAGGAGCTTCCTTTCTTTAGCAGGTGTTTGAGAAGCAGGTGCTTGTTGGTTTGACAAGCTGACAGCAGACTGACCCAGGAGCTCTCCAAGATGTGTGATGTCAGAAATTGAAGTTTCTCCGTATGATTACACAGTATTAGGAACTCCCATTCTTTCTGCTAAATGCTTTATATCCACTGCTCATGTCAATTACCAGGAAGGTCTTCCTAATCAGGCACTACAAAGAATTTTAAAACATCAGGAAGCTTCCTTTATTACTAAACTATTTTTGAGCACTTCTTAGTAACAAGAATTCTACTGTGCGCTTGCAGCCTTGAAATTGCAGATGCAAATTTTCACTTGTGGAACAAGACACCCTGAGCAAGGAAACAAAGGGAACCACAGCAGGAAGGGACACGGATTTGAAATGTCTTCAGACAGTATTTTAACTGTTTCTCCAGTTTGAATTCTAAGCCAGCTTCCTGTGGTACAAATGACCCTCCCTCCTATTCTGTCCCGTGCTGCTGTTCCTGCACAAAGTGCATCCATAGAATTGCAAAAAAAATCAGCTGTGGGCAGATGTAGGACAATGCAGAACACATAGGAACCAAATGGAAACATCTGCTGTAATTCCAGCAATGAAAAGAAAACTCTCTTCCCACCTCTCCATCAGAGTTCACGAGGTATGTGCGGATATTTCCTCCAGTGCCCCAGCTGCCCTGATTCTTCCACACGAGAACAGAAGGGGGGCTGTGAGATACACCTGCATCCGCACCCCAGATCTGGTGAGAAGACATTCAGTCATCAGCTATTCGTGCACGTTTCATTTTTAAATATCCCAAACCTTCTAACTCTCCCACTTGTCTCTCCTTATCAGTTTTGCTTCCAAATCCCAGTGGTAGATTTACTCTACTTTAATTTACATCAGTGCCTGTGGGAAGACATGACTCTCAGTCTGCAACAACAGCTATCACCAGCCATAGCAAGAGGAAAGAAATCTAACGCTGCAGTCATCAGTCCTGAACACAGTCACTCCCACCACAGCCTCAATGCCTAGAGGAGGGACGTAAAACGCAGCTTGTGCAGACAAATTTCATCTGATAAGCATCTGAGCAATCAATACTCAGGCAGAAATAACTGCAGCTGACTAAAGGAAAGCCATTCTGCTGCAGACCAAACGTCAAACAAAATCGCAAAAAGCAATACTACAGTTAAGGCTGAGAATGTCAAGTATTAAACTTAACACAAGTCTACCAGACTAAATAAATGTTCCTATTTCATGAAGGGGTAGAGCAGGATTAAGTATTCCAAACTTCAACAGAGGTGCTTGAAAAAAATAAAATAAACAACAATCTTTGCCTCCTCCCCCCCCCCACAGACCTCTTTTTCAGCTAAATGGCCTTAGATACTGAAGTGCTAATACAGAAATGGAACTTTTTTTTGCCTTTCTACAACTGAAGTCCTGCTCCTCTAAAACAAGAACCACAAGTCCAAAAGTTACACCCCAAACTTCAGATTTACAGCTGCCACAACATCAACAGATGAACGTTGCTGACACATGGAACATGACTTACTGTTACAGTCTGCCCAGCCCTGAGGACATACTTCGGAGTAAATTTGTACGCAATTTCTTCTCCATCTCCAATTTGTCTTTTCAGTCTCCAGTTACCCAAAGACTGATCCTAGTGAGGAGAGTTGTAAGGTTATTTATTTAGGGTGAGCAAACAGGCATCAAACGTCTTGCTACATCTCTTCGTTATATTTATTTATGTGGTTGTTAGACATCTGCAATCTAACTTGAGAATACTTTTCCACACCCAGTAATCGTGTTAAGGTCATTCAACAAAAACTTAAAAGAGACTTTTCACACGAAAAAATGCTCTGCTAGAGCCAGCGAGGCCGTTCACAGCAGCACAGCACCAGCATACGGGATCAGACATTCAGGACTATGGTCTCATCCTGCAACATCACACCTGTAGCAAATTCACCTTTCAAATGCCACGCCGCTTTTACAAGACGACATACCTTGAAAGGTACCATTTCTCTCAAGTGATGTGTGCTCAACACACAGTGCAGCATTTCAGTTTAGCTCCTCCTTAAGGAGCTCTGCTGACACTCACCTTCTCCGAGTTGTTCTTCAGTTGAACGTATTTGCCCTCCAGGTCTATCTCTTCAATGCTGATACTTCCTGTAGCTGAAGCTTGCTGGGACATTTGGAAGCTACTGCTGCTACTGCTACCACTGATACTTCCAGTGCCAATCCCACTCGTCCCACTGCCCGAAAGCTCCTCTGCTTCAATCCGTCGCCTCTTGCCTCGCGAAGAGCGGACAAGTGAAGTGCTGCTGCTGCTGCTGCTGGACGTGGCTCGAGAGACAGTAACGCGGGACGAGGGGCTGGGAGAGAGCTTCAGCCTGGAAACGATCAAGTACTTCAATCAGATGGAAGGAAATTAACATTTTTCTAGCTGGTCCACAGAGCGATGGTCAAAGCAATAACAGCACAAAACTCGGTAACCAGACTGCCGTGCTTCACTGTTCTGTCAGTGGGGCTGCAAATGAAGGAACAGGTCTGTCCAGGGTGATACGTGACCTGAAACGCAGCGACGGTGAGGGCAGCACAGACTGCCTCATCCACTACTTAGATACTTACACTCCAGTACACTATTCTTATTCTTGTGCCTGATCACTTAAACACAGGAAAAGACCTATAAGTAAACACTTAAAAAGAGGAGATGAATGTCAAGTTCAGAATTATATATTCCAGTGCACTTTGACACCATCATGAAAACCAAAACATAAGGCAGATATTCAGATGAGAACAGCTGTAAGTGTTCTACACCTGTTAGGGGTTACATCACAGTGTGAAGACAATGTGACTTCAGTGAAACAAAATCTGAGCATTTCTGTTAAAACTGAAAAAGAAAAAAAAAAAAGCCAAAAATGAAAGTAACATTAGTCCTAAGAAAACGGAGCTCATACCTTTCCTCTTCTCCCTCCAGGAGTTTTCGATAAGCACTGATTTCCATGTCAAGTGCTAATTTCACATCAAGCAGCTCCTGGTATTCTGTAAGCTGCAGCTGCATTTGGTCCCTCATTTCTGTCATCTCCCTCTCCTTGGCATCAAGCATCTTCCTAAATTTATCCCGTTCACCAGCCATCGTTTCCTCCAACTCACGAATGCGATCTTCTGCTGCACTGGCCTAGGGACAACAGAAAACCTAGTTGTATCCATGTGGATGCAGGACAGAAATCATCTCCATCCCACCACAATCACAGAATGCTTGGGTTGGAAACACCCTAAAGACCATACAAGTTCAACTCTTTGCCATGCATTGGTTGCCCCTCACCAGACCACCCAGCCTTGAACACCTCCAGGGATGGAACACCCACAGCTCCTCTGGGCAGCCTGTGCCAGGGCCTCACTGCCCTCTGGGAGGAAAGTTCCCCAATCACATCTAACTTAAATCTTCCTATTTTTAGCTTTGAACTGTTTCCCCTCAGTTCTATCACTATGTGCCTATGTAAAAGTCTATCTTTCATCTTGCTTAGAAACTGGAAGGCCACAATGAGGTCTCCCCTGCATCTTCTCCAGGCTCCCTCCTGTCTTTGCAGACCCACTTTGTCCAGGTCCCTTTGGATAGCGTCCCTTCCTTCTGTCACACCGACTGCACCACTCAGCTCGGTGTTATCAGCAAACTCAAGACATGAGGTAACATTTGTTGGTCTTCCCTTATCAGCTGATGTCATCATTCCTTCATAGAAGGCCATCAGGTTGCTCAGGCCCAATCTATCCGTGGTGAAGCCCTGCTGGTTTCAGTATCAACTCCTCATCTTGCACGTCTTCCAGCTTCCAGGAGCACTGAATTCCACGATCTTCCCTGGCACAGATATGAGGCTTTTTTACCCTTCTTAAAAATGGGAGTGATTTCCCTTTTTCCAGTCACCAGGGACCTCACCAAACAGCCATGATTTTCTGGATGTGATGGACAGTGATTTGGCAACCACATCAGCCAGTTTTTTCAGGATTCTGAGATAAATGTCATCAGGCCCCATAGACCCCATAGTACATGTTCGACTTCATCAGGTTGTCAAGAACTTGCTTTCTGCTTATGGGAGGAGGGATTTTGCTCCCAGCTGCCAAAGGTTCAAGGACATGAGATGTGGGAAGCCTGACTGGCAGTGAAGATTGATGCAAATAATTGAATATCTCAGTCTGTTGAAGCCAGTTCTCCCTTCCCATTTATTAGAGGGGGTCCACTCTCCTTGGCCTCTCTCTTCCAGCAAGTGTACCCACAGAACTTCCTGTTATCCTTTGTATCCCCTGCCAAGTCCAGTTTCACCTTGGCTTTCCTGATCCCATCTCTGCACATCATCTCTGCTCTTCATCCATCCCAAGTATTTCCTTCTTACTCCCCACTTTGACCAGCAGATCCTAGCTCAGCCTTTCCTGCCTGCCCTGGCTAATTTCTTACACGTGCAGATGGAGAACTTTCACCCTAACAAATCAGCCTTAAGGATTTATCAGCTCTGTTCTGCTCTTTTGTCTCTAGGGACAGATCCCAAGGGAACTCTTCCACTGATCCTTTAAACAACTGGAATTTCACTCTTCTGAAGTTCGGAGTCCCGACTTTACTCCTCGCCAGGCCTCAGGATGGAGGAGTCACAGACCCTGGAGGTGTTCAAGAAACATTCAGATGTTGTAGTGACATCATGGCTTAGTGGGAAATACTGGAGATTGGAGGACAGTTGAACCGGATGACCTCAGAGGTCTTCTCCAACCCCGGTCATTCTATGATTCGAAGACCACAAAGAGCACAACCACTTCTCTCCATAAAATTCAGAAAATATGAGAGGACAAACCTGAATATATTCAAACATTACAGTGCTTTATATTAGAAATAAGAACAGATTTAGTGCCTTTTACCTGTTTCTGAAGGCCAGAAAGTTGGTAGCTGAGAGATTCTATTCTCATGCGAGCCTCCTTCAACTCCTCCCGAGCTGCACCAGCAGCTTTGTCATTTTGGTCAGAGGCCAGGATGGCATTCTCCAACTGGAAGACAGGTTTTACGCGAGTCATTGTATTAAGTTAGACATCTCATAAATATACCTGCAGTACTGCATATAAGCTTTTTAATCTTAAATAATTTAAAATGGAAATCTAGTAAGTTTATGAACCTCAAAGACATACTCTAAAGGAACGAGAACACATATTTCAGTTCTATTCCTATAGGATTATAGCCTTACAAAGCTTAGGTTTATGTTATCACTACCAGCCTGTTTGAAGTCAGAATGATCACACAGGCCCCCAGTTTTATGTCCTGGTCCAACAGTTCTCTGCATGCCCAGAGAGCAAGCTGAATAAAACATTTCATTAGTGCCAAATCTCAGCTGACCAGTAGCAACTTACTGATTTCCTCAGTAAGAGGAAGATCTTGATGCTTACACTCTTCCATGAATTCTTCAGGCAGGATCACATTACATTGTAACTTTCATCAAGGTAGGTGGAAAATGCGTATTTTTCATGCTTTGCAGCTTAAGTTCAACTATCTACTACTACATGCACCACAGAATCCACACAGGAACCAAAGTGCTCCACCTCTAAGAACAGTTTCAGGCAGAACATTGTTCTTAACCACACAGCACAAGACTTCAAGAAATCGATCTTCATCAACTGCACTGCTCAAAGAGCTCCAAGCGAGGAAGAGCACACAAGGAGAAGCTTGGCATATGCCACACCATATTCTCCAGCAGCCCAAGATCTCTCTGATGAGAGTATGACCCTGGACACAGACACCAAGTTACCCAGACAGCTAAACCTGTCATTCCCTCTCCTCCTCATTTCAATAGGAACCTTACTGTACAAAATTTCTTCCTCTCCTGTTCAAATCTTGTCATTTTTTCCTTCTCTACCAACTTTGCTAACAGTGCTTTCCCTACAAAGGATATACTTTGGATCCTCTTCGGACAAGTCAATCCAAGTATCTGGTTGTTCCTAACCTCTCTGAATAATGCTAAGTTTGCTAAAGGTTCTTTATTTTGCTTTTTAATACCTATTACTTATTTTGTTGCTGCCCTAAGAAAGAGTTAAATACTTTTTAGATCAGTATTTCTCAAACTGCAAATCAAAGAATTCTTAAGAGAGTCTCAAAGTCAAGGGCGTGGAAAACAATGTTAGCAGCACCATAATTTCTCCACCACAGGAGAATGAGAAGTGGCTATAATTACAGGTAAGGATTTTCATAACCAGAAAACTGACACCTACTTTATTTTTTCAGGTAGGGTAATAATAATATTAAAAAAATACATACTTGTAGCCAGCAACTGTACCAGTAATACTGAGCATACTACTTCCCCCACACTGCCAGCTGAATTAACGGGGATTTGCTAACTCAGGATTTGCACAGGCAGGTAAAATAAAGCAGTGCCTACATTTTAAGAAGTTCAAGGAGCATTCTTCTGCATCAAATTACGCCTCACTATGTTCACACTTCCAAACTGCACACCACAGTTTTCAACACCAACACTTGTCAAAAAAGCATCCACTATCTTGTCTGATTTCCCCACCACCAGCCCCAATGAAATCACAAATGCACCAAAAAAAAAAAAAAAAAAAAAAAAAAAAAAAAACCCCAAACCACAGAAAAAAAACTACTGTATCAGCTATTGTGTGACATCTCCTATTCGCACCCTGTCCTCAGGGAGCAGCAGTTCCACATGTTCTCCTGGCTACTGCTGTTCCAAGCTGTTACCCTGGGCTAAACCTCGCTGGAAACGTGCCTGTGACCTGAACAGGAGGAACCACTTGGACATCATCACAAAGCTTCACATCACTACCACCTGTGTCCTTAAAGACAGCAGCTCTGATGGAAATGGTTCTATCTCCCGACTGGACCTCCTGCCCACCAGACGGGGAGTGCAGCAGTTACCTTAGCCTGGTAGGTCTGCTCCAGCTCCATTTTGTACAGCTTGACTTGCTCATCATGCTGATTTCGCAGATCCTCCAGGGCCTGAGCCATTTTGTTCTCATACTCCTGCTGGCGACTGGTGTCCACTTCGACCAAGCGATGCTCATGCCGCTTTCTTGTCTCTCTTATCTCCTACACAGAAAAAAAGAGGACAAAGTCCTACACTGAGGCAAACAGTACAAGCAATTCCATTTAGACGAGTATTAATTACTTCAGTACTAATTATTTAGTATTTAGGAACTACAGTACTGCAGCCAAAAGTTACTGCTATATTAAGAGATGCAAGTTACCTCTTTCATTCTGTAAAAAACAATTCTAAAAGGTGAGCAAACTTGAAAAATGGCTGACAAATATTCATACAGAATGTAAGTAAGGAGATCTTTTGTGCTGCAATAATTGATGGAGGGGTGAGTTTGTGCCTACAACAGCAAGCAGTCTACAAGGAACCAGATAAAATCAACACGTTTTGCAACCATTCTGAATGCTGAAGATAAACAAAATACAGATGTTCAAATTTCACTCAGGCATATGCAGATCTCTTTTTTTCTATATATTCTATGACCTCTGCTAATTAGGTTTTCATAACATTAGTAATAAAGAAACAACCCAAACAAATTCTCTATGCTATTGCTCTGAAAACAATTTTTTTTTCTTGTCAGTTTGTACAAAATACTCTTTTTCTGGTGAATGATGAGATCTCTGTATCTGTAACACTGCGCCTAAACCAGTGAAGTTGAGATTTACTCATTAACTTATTCATGCTGGGCCCTGCAAAGACCCACCCAGGTCTGAATGTATGGTATGAGAAAGAATTCATTTCTGCCTTCAGAGTAAGGCAAACTAAAGGAGCAGCTGTAAACTCTGTCAGGGGGCCCGAAGATAGCAGTGCAGTCATGAGATGGAGCAGAGGACAAGAGAATTAAGGCTTACTTCCCATGGCTAAGCTGAAGTCACAGCAGACTAACAAAAATTCAGGGCCACTGTATATGAGCTGCTTTGCAGAAGTCCTCACAGAGCAAAAAATTACTTTAATGGCCTACCAACAAGGAAGGGTCTGTCACCTGCAGGTACACACAGCAACCCAACTGCTTTGTGGCACGGAGGTGAAACAACGATCATAGCTCAGGATGTCTTGCTTCATTTCCCAATACCTGTCCCTAGCCACAGAGCCTTGCCTAACCCCTCCACCCGGTCTGTACACTCATTTTATTCCATGCTGAAACAGAACTCAGCCATTAAACTGGCAAACATTCAACTCAACAAAACAGTCAAAGTATTTTCTCATTAATCATGCTGAAAGAGTTTGGTGCATGGTCAGCCAAACATCACACGGGTGAGACAAAGGGCAGGAGTCTGTGGCAGCTGCTCAGCAGCCACTAAGGAATGAGTTTGTGCTGCTGAAGAATCAAAGGTCAGGGTTGGACTCCAAGGAATAAACTGACCTCACTTTTCAAGAAGTGGCCATGCTTCCTTTCTCCATTCCTCCCAATCCCCATCTGTGCATTCCTACTGTTTACAAAACTACTGCTTTACTCCCAGCAAAAAGCAGTTTTTGGTGCAGTGTTCTCACCAATGGAAACAGGTTACAGTCAGCTCTAACAGACACCACAGCAAACCAGGGGCAGGGCCACGCAGTCTGTGTAAAGAGGGAATAGGACATTCCCTCTCAAGCAGAAGCAAGCTGTTAAGTTAACCCACAGAACAGTAATACCCTCGTCACTTGGCTTTTATGCTAGTTCTGCCACTGATCTGCTATGCAACTCTTACACAACCTTTAAAATCAGCTGATTCACAGCAAAGATGAAATAATACTGATTTTCGCTACCTGGTCTCATTAGAAAATTGTTTATGGTCTGAGTAAGAACTACATAAGCTTCAGAATATAATGAGATTACAAGGCTGGTTCTACCTCCTCAAACACATTCTTCCTGAAATCCAGATCCTCCTGCAAGCTCTGGCACCGATTCTCCAGGTCCACACGCATAAGTGTCTCCTTCTCCAACTGCTTCTTAGCCACAGCATGACCATCTTCAGCCTGGTAGAGAATTGTAAAGATAAGTATTTAATTTTGACTGGATCCCTTTTCTCCCCATCTACGAGCCCTTCACAGCCTTCAGTTGAGATCTTTGGATCAACAACACACAACAATAAATCTCATCTCAAGCTATTACAAAAGTAAAGAAAAAGAAAAAAAGGAAAATGCATGCGTGAGCATGTATGGATACTTAGAAAAGCTTTTGTGATTCTACCCCACCTATAAAACACAGGATTATTTCAGTGTAGCTTGATAATGAATCCAAAGATTATTAACTTCTCAAGGATGAACTGTATATTCTTCTCTTTCTTGACAACACAGCTCCTCTGGATACTTCATCATAAATTAAAGTTACGCAGGATGTTACAAAGCAGAACATTAAGTAACCAGGAACACACCAATCTTTATGCTATCAATATTTTTAACACACCTTAATACTTAGCTTGTTTTACAGACCTCTTCATTTATTTCCACATCTAAGAGGGGCAGGGAAAGGTTAAGCAGAAGGGAGCTGAAGCAATGATGTTCAGACAAACTAAGAGCAAAGTCACAACAGATTTCACAAGCAGTAACTCCTGCTGTGCTCAAGCAAGCAAGCACTCACTGCGATACCTTTGCAAGTTGGGCACGCAGATCAGCCACCTCTGCCTCCAGGCTGCGTTTCTCATTCAGAACAGTATTGAGTTCTGCTTCGCTTCTATGGAAGAGGACTTCAAGATCCTTAATGCGACCTTGAGCAACAGACAAATCTGCATCTTTCTTTTTGTAGCTGAAACAAACAAAAGTTACCATATTTACACATGGGTGCACACACACACCTGGAGAATACTTTGGTTACAGTTACAGATGTTTTGGTATGCAGTCATTGTACCAGCAGGTGGCTCTGGAGTAATCTGCAACTACAGTTACTTAAAATAATTATAAGCCTGGTACAAATGGAGTTTTAGAACAATGTTCTGTGTATGTATTGCCCAGCTGACATGTTCATTACTGGATGGCAAGGGCAAAAACAATCCCTTAAAGAGCATTTCCTCATCTCATAGAGGAAACATTTGGACTACAGCTCCCAAGGAGCAGAGCACACGTATCTCTCACAGAAGCCCACAAGCAGTCGCTTCTCTGCTGGTTCCAGACCAGTATGTTCCCTTCAGTTTCCTCCGAGAACTATGAATCCCTTCCTAAAGAAGAGAGCCTTGCCCAGGGAAGTGCTTTCCTGTGAAAAAGGATGATGGCAACAAATCACTTCTCTTCCACGATGGAGAGTCGCAGCATTCTGAGTCTGGAGCCACGACATTTCTAGGCTCCCTTCAGGTACTGCTGACAAAGGGCAGCTCCCGAGTCCTGTAATGGTTAACAACTGTTACAGTTGTTATAGTTGTTATCACTTCTGTGCCCTAGAACCTTCCAAAGCCTGGGAGCTTCTGACTCATCCCACTGGCCTTGTACCTCCTTTTTCTTTCCAGGCTGTTCTCACTCCTAAGGCAGACAAACAATCACAATATAACTCTCAATATGTAAAAAGTACCACTCAATCTCAAACTTGGCTTCAAAGTGCAGCCTTTTGGAGCTGATTTTTTTTGCCCACTGTCTATTTGACAACTGCCCATTGTCTAAACAATAGCTTGGGATGCTTCTTACTGTCAAATTACCCTAAGTACTAAAAAATCCAGAAAACATCAGATCAGCATCATACATGGCAGATAAGTATAAAGAAACAAAATGACCAAAGTATGTGCCAGGGCATCCAAGATCCCAAAAGAATAATCTGTACACATGGAGAATACTGGGTAACAACAGCTGTCATCATCTGTCATCAACGAGCTGCACATACATGGCAGAAAGATAACAGCTCTGAAGTCCTGTACACTGCAGGAAAACCATATGCTTTCTATACCATAACCTGTCACAAATCCTCGTGTATCAGCCAACTTCTTGCTGCTCCCCAACCCTTCAAGAGTTGGGTCTACCACGCAGTGAACTTGAAAGAGACACTGAGGAAGTTGTAGCAAACACAGTGTTACACATCACCGTCCTCCTCCTTCAAGCACAAAGCACTGAAGGTTGGGAGGTGAGCAGGACAGTGTGCAGGGAGGACTTCACCACTTGCTGCCTGTCAAGGAACCCTGTGCAAACAGACACAAAGTTGTTTTCAAGAATTGCATCTAAAGTCGGGCTGTATGTCCCAGGTGTGACTTTCTGTATGTATTACACCAGGCACAGCAAGATTCTGCAAGTACACCTCAAGGGACTGAAAGCAATCTGCTAAAAGAAACTTCTGAGCCAAGAAATAATTCAGTTCTATTATGAACTAAGCGGACAGGAAACCTGGCACACTTTCCTCATATTTAGTGTATCTCAGAATACCAAGTACGTTTGAAAGAGGCTGGTAGAATTACCCTGTCAAGTCCCCCAAGTGACTGATGAGGGACAACTCAACCACCCAAACACAGGGCAAGGGAGATGACCCAAAGAAAGCAGCAGCAGCAGCATTTCAAGTGCACAGGGTTTTACAACAGGGTATTTGTAAAATCTCTCAGTATTAGCAAAGGCCTAAAAAACAGAGATCAACTTGCAGCGATTCTCACTAGCTGGGAAGTGAAGGGAGGATAACGGAGCCAAATTCCCACAGTTCCTGCGGCAGTTCACTTTTGGAAACTGCTTTAAAACACAATCAAGCAAAGGATTTGTTGCCTCCAGGACAACGGAGACAACCTTGATGGCTGTCTTAACTTCAAGCGGCACACAATACAATCCGTGGGGGGGGAGGGAGAGAGAGAAACAAAGAGACCAGGATGGAAGGAGGCAGGACTGATTGTTTTATCGTCTGCAGTGTGAACAGCCCATCAACTCGCAGTTTATTCATCCTCTATCTACAAATAGATCTGTGTATATACTAGCTATAACATCTGAGGAATTCCACTGACAAGCCTGCATCACTTCCTCACGACACCCACTAAGGCATTTTAAGAGGCAACAGAGCGTCGTTCACACCGCAGATTACCAATTCATCATTTAAAGAAAAAACCGTAAGATTTTCCTTACCTTTTATTGAACTCCTCAAGTTCAGCCCTCAGTTTTCCTATCTCAATCTGTAACCTCGCCCTCTCTTTGGCTGTTTCATCCAGAACTCTTCGAGCATCAGCCAGTTCAGACTCATAGAGGTTCTTGATGCCACTGACCTAAAGGGGAAAAAAGTGTTCAGACATGAAACATTCCCAAGCCTAAGCATCAGCAAACTGAGTTTCACAGGTTTCACACAGCTTTCTTTGGAAGAGAACGTTTGATATGACTTCTGTTGTTGAAGTGCATGAAATTCTGACCATTTTCAATTAATATGCACCTGCATGCCTATGTGCTGTGATCTACTGTGACCCAGCCCCAAAGACAACACTGGAGATTCATTCCCAGCAGGACGTAACAAAACATGTTTGAAATGTGTGTCTTCCAAAGAGACAGACTGAAGCAGAGCAGCACACCCTGCACACAGACCTTGAACCATTTGCTCCCATTCCACAGACCATTGCTTTGAACCATTTTTTTTAAGCAGCAATGTCATTTAAAAACAAAGTAGGAAAAATGCTTTCTGGAATACAAATGGAAGCCTCATTCAATTCTGTTGCTCCTGTACTACAAAGCAAAAGAAGACTCTGAAATGAGATGAACTCCAGAGACCTTCAGAGACATGCTTCTACTCTTGTTCTCTGCCTCAGACGATAAGGATCTGCAGATCTCTCCCTGTCCCAGCTCAGAAAAAAGATAAGACAATCCACTATTCAGACTGCAACAAGGCACCTCAAAGTCTTCAACACCAGTAACTCTTTGTAGAACACAGGATCATTTGAAAGGCGTATCAAGATAGCTAAAAACTGAAGGTAAGATTGGTGGCATTGCTTCTATCAAAGGATATCAGAACAGCTCTTACTGATGTAAATTCAGAAACAGAGCAATCATGGTGTGGGAAGAGCAAAAAGCAGAATACAACAGCTTTAGGAAGAGAAATTTCATAACAAAGCATCAACTGCAGACACGAGGCAACTGTGCTGTTCCTAGGAGTGCCTATTCCAACAGCCCCAACGACAGACTCAACCATCTGGTCTTCAGAAAGACAGATTAAAGGCAGAAAATAAATCAAGACCCTGACAGAACATATTTTCATAAAACTTCTGAAATGAACCTAGATGTTGTGGGAATTAAATGTTGTTTCTGCATTAGAATTGGATAATCTGGTTTTTATTTCACGAGCTCTGCTATCATAGTTCTTTTTGGGAGTCCTTCTACTTCACCTCGGGAAGATCTCTGATAGTTTGCATCACTGATCCTCTAGACGAACCTTCCCAGGCACGCACACTCTGTATAGAGGTGTATATCTGTATATTTGGTCACACGCTGCAGGAATATCCTGCACGAGAGCAAACCAGAGAACAGCCATGGCCTGCCCCAGGAAGCGCCTGAAGAGACATCGGCAGGCCTGGCATCATCCCCAGTGCTCTTTGTTTAACGCAGACTTGAAAGAAAATCACCGTTTCAATACGGCAAGGAGAGCACCGAGACAGCTTGGAAACAACAGCACGGCTGCTGACTGACAGCAGGTAACAAATAAATTAACAAATAAATTAAGTAAATAGCAAATGTCAACCTTCTGTAAGATTGTGAACCTGGAGTACGCAGCCAGTGGGGAAACGGGGGAGGGAGGAGGCAAGGGGGAGCAAACAGGGTCTAAAGGCTGCCATGTTGTGTCCATAGGCGCTCCTCCTTGCGGGACGCCGCCATTGCAACCGCGAATAAATTCTGCTGTTACCAGAGATACCGTCCTGACAAACGTGACTTGGATATTTCCAACAATGTGACAGTCTGAGAGCTGAGAATTCTTTTTCTAAAGAATTATTCTTTCAAGATTTATTCCATTTTTTTGTTTGTTTTTCCTCTTCTTTTGTCACAGCTTACAGCCAGAAATTCCCTATGGCACAAGCTAATACAACTCTGCTTTACCAGTTGCAGAAAGTTCCACAAAGATGTGAGTTACGACTGCGCTAAGATCCTTCTTACACCACTCCACCACGCCAATAAAATGTTAATTGTTAAGCCTCTCAATAACTGTGAGCCTTCATGAAAACACAGTATTTGCAAATCACAAGACAAAATCACACACTGGAATACTACATTTGAGAGCTACGTGCTTTTCAGAAGGGATTCCCCGGGGCAGGAGCAGGAGGGAAGGCAACATGGTGGGCTGCAAGCAATTCAGGGGACTCCTGGAGTCCATTGAGGATAACTTCTTGTTCCACGTACTGCCCAGACCAACCAGAGGTGAAGTGTTGCTGGACCTGGTGCTCACCAACACAGAGGGATCATTACAGGGGATAAGATCAGAGGCACTGTAGCTGCTGTGCCCTGGCTGAGCGAGGGCTGTGAGTCTGAGAAAGAACAGTCAGGGATCTGAGCTTCAGGACAGCAAACTTCCAATTGTTTAAGGACTGGATGGGATTCCCTGGGAAACTGCCCTCAGGGAGGCGAGAATGGAACAGAACTGGCAGCTCTTTAAGGATGCCTTCCTGAGAGCACGGGAACTTGGAGGAGGCAGGAAATCATCACAGCTGAGCAAGGAGCTGCTGGTCAGACCAAGGGTAAGGAGGACGTGCACAAGGTCTGGAAGCAAGGATGGGGAGACTGGGAAGAATACAGGAACACCAACCAAACATGTATGGTGTGATCAGGAGAGCCAAAGTGCAGATGGACTTGAACCTGGGGAGGGATGTGACAAATAATGAGGGGTTCTACAGGTACAATGGTCAGAAGAGACAGGCCAAGGAGAGCATACCTCCTCAGATAAACAAGGAGGCAGAACCAGCTCCTACAAACATGGAGAAGGCTGAGGTACTCAACAGTTCTCCGTTTCAATCTTCACTGCCAGTCAGGCTTCCCACATACTTCATGTCTTGAACCCTCTGCATGTGGACTGGGGTGAGTAAAATCCCCCCCTCTGTAAGAGAAGAGCCTGTCTGAGACCCCCTCACAAGACTGAGTGCATACAGAACATGGGGCCAGACAACATGCATTCCAGAGAACTGCAAGGAAAAAAATAACCACAGCTGACTGGGGTGTCCTCAGCGAGTGAAAAAAGGGAACCATCACTCTCACTTTTAAGAAAGGGAGAAAGGAAGGTCTGGGAACCTACAGCCCAGTGAGCCTCACCACTGTGCCTGCCTTGGAAGATCGTGGAGCAGCCCATCCTGGAAGAGATGTTATGCACATACAAGACAAGGAGCTGATCTGAGAAAACCTGCAGGTTTCCCTCTATTTGTAAACATCACTACAAAAAGGTAATACAATATCAACCAACAAATAGTGAATAATTTATGCTTGTTTTATATTCAAAGTACTCCAATTTATATTCAAAGTACTCCAAACACCACACAGCTTAACAACATCAAAAGGACAACACTCTGAATTGCAAACAAACATTTAAAGTAACCCCTGCCTTGATAGAAGATAGCTGGAATGAACTAAATATTGAATGATGAAAGCCATTTCAGAACCTTTTGGTAAAAAGAGAACCAGAGACAACACTTCTGAGCTAAAAAGGTCTGACTCGCCCTCACTGCGAAACCTGTTGTGGCAGCTTAGCATGGATCTTTTCTCCTGTAGCACACTGAACTTCTGCTCTGCTCCTGTTCTGGAAACTTGAATGAAAAGTAAACACAGGTCCAATGCAGTTTGTTAGCAAGAACACCACTTAGGGCAGCATTTTAAGCTAATGCACCGACAGACAGAAGCAACTGAGATACGAGGACACTCTCTAGCACTGAAAGAAACTCTGGCAAGTATTTCTGTTGCCTGAAACTTTCGCCCCTAAAGCTCTGCTCTGGTGGAAGGAACGTAACGTTCAGAGTCCACTGACTTGGAAATCACCAGAGCAGTATGGTCCCCACAGTGCCTCTAGTGATCGTCCACCTCCAATCTGCTTTCTTTCTAAACTACAATCACTCTTTAGCCTCCTCCCTTTTAAACTTACTTTGCAACTGCAACTACTTTGCTGAATTTGGTCTCCAGTAGTGACACTTCAAGCTCACATTCTTAAAAAGCTGTTGCTGCACTTCTAGGATATGCCTCATATAGAATTTATGGACAAAAAAAGAAAAATGGCAACAGGACCAGCAATCACAGCATCCACAGCAGCAAGGGAAGGAAAACCACTAAATGAACCCAGCAGCTGTGAAGCCCATTTCTAGTGCTTTGCTTCATCACCATCTCAGCACTGTGCCACCAGGCAGTGTCTAAACGCCCCGAATGCCCCAGGAATTCTTGGAGCACACTTTGCTCAGGTTCGACACATTCTGAAAAAGATTTTCTACGCAGCATCCAGAGTAGGGAAATAATTCTGGTATGCGCAGTGCTAATTAATCACTAACTATAAAGGAAAACAGGAACCGTACTGGAGATCAGAGAGGCATTCCAGCAGCTGTCAAATAGCTCACGCTGTAATCCAAGAGGTGATACCATACCAGAGCTACATTTTATATGTTTGCAGCGAGAGTATCACGGAGCGGTCAGTCTGGTAAGCCATGAGAGGAAGCTCTTCACTCTGCAGCACGTGGGACCAGATCTGCCACAACACTGTCAAGAACCTCAGCAGATTTGCTTTCAGCAGCCTTGCAGAAGCAAAAGAAACCAAGAAGTAATTACAACCATTGCAATTATGACAACTACAGAAAACAGAAGAATTTGTTAGAGCAACCGAAAAAAAAAAAAAGCAGAATATGTATAAGACATCACGGTAGGCACTTAACTAAAAGAAGATCACACACAATAATGCAAGATAAAACAAAACTGGTGTGCTTACTTGCTGGGCAAACACAGCAGAGCAGGAGGATACGGAACATGGAGCAGCATTTGTCCAAAAGCAAAGCTCATGCACAAATGCCAAATAAAAACTGATAGTGATTTCTGACAAACACATGGCAAGCCAAAAAATTAAGTTTGAAGAAAACTCATAAATGGCGTAGAAAGTAATCGCTCTTGCTGCACTTACAGAAAGGTACAGATAGACATGACAAACAGCCTGCAGCCCAAAGCTCATCAGCTAAGCAAAAGTACCATCTCAAAAAGATGAAGTACAAACATATCTTCATTTTTTTGTTATTATTTAACTTACATTCATACTAGAGAAATCTGTAAGAGC